TTAAATAGATGAAAGAGATATGTGAGTGGCGGAAGTCATGGTAGAAATAGCCTTGGGACATGAGTTACTCTATTAAGCAAAAGTCTTACTGCCTTTTATAACAACCCACAGATTAACAAGTACAATGCAAAGTGATCTAAATATTTTTCTTAAATAAAGAGTTGATGTTCTCAACCAAAAACCTCCTCCAAAGCTTACGTAAGTACAGGCACTCTGCTCCATTAATATAAGTGTATATTTTTTCCTAACAGAAATACCTGCATTTAAAAAAGTGCAGCAATAACTTCAAACTTCAAAGGTCCAAACTTCAAAAGGTTTCTTGCATTCTGCTTGATGGGACAGCATCTTATGCACACATGCTTTTTTCCCCTGCTAAATGCCTTAATAATGAGCTTGGGTTCAGATTTTGTGAATCGGAGCCAAGTAACTCTATTTTATTATATTTGCTGGGAAATGAACTAGCTCAGGGTAATTAGGAAAGCAATTTTATTAGCTTCTATTTCATAAAGATTGTTTTTTAATCAGAGTCAGAACTTACTAGAAATGATTCTGAGCTCATTGCTTAGGTCTCAGGAAATGAAGTGGGGCACTGTAGGTCCTAACCCACAGTAAAGCCAATGTGATGAAGACAGAAGCTTTGCTCTTAATCTCCAACAATGCCGTAAAAATAAACCCAATCTGATGGCATTGTAAATAAAAGGGTCTCCGCTCACGAGGGCCCATGTCTAGCAGATTGTGCCAGAGCCTTGACAACTGAAGGAACTAAAGCTTTCTTTTCATTGACGAAGTAGTCTTGGATTCAAGTTGTGAGCAATTCAGATTTGGGGACTGAGGTGGGTAGTAAGCAAAGTAAACCACTGCATTAAATGATTGTGTCTTCAAGAAACAAATGGGAGAAGGAATTGGGACTGATGGTATATTTAGATCATATAGAGCAGCTGTAAAGAAAACAAATGCTCTACTGAAGCAGACAGCACCTACGGGCCCGGAGGTGGCCCTAGAGGAGCATGGAGATCTTGAGCAAACACCTCTCCTGGCAGCCACTCCTGGAGCTCAACACACTGTTCGGGGCACCTCATTATAAAGAGAACATCCCTACTGTAAATGAGAGAGAACTCAGAGAAGGGTGGCAAAAAAAGATAAAAGGATTAGAAGAGATGACCTATAAAGAAAGGTTAAAGGAACATAACATTTAAAGCTTGCAGGGAAAAGAGCTGGAGAGATGGAAGGCTATGCTAACTGTCTACAAATATTTGAGCAATAATAATTATAAGGAAGGGAGAGGATTGCTTGCTGTGGTTGAGAATGGTCTAATAAGAAGTAACGGCATGAAACCAAGAAAAGGGGAAAATGCCTGTTAGCTGACATTAGGACAAATATCTTCCCAGTAAGGGCAATTAAGCAGTGAAGAGAACCGTCTGGGGAGGTGGCTGGGGCCACAGCCACTGCAGTACGGCAAGTATTTAAGGGGAGGTAAAGCACTAGTGACCTTCTCAGAAAGGAAAGAGAGCCACCCCTTGTAAAGCTACCTACACATTGGAGAAGAGAGCTGGGAAAGTGAGGAACACTTTCCCTACAGCCTCCAGCTGCAATTTAAACTTCTAAACTGAGAGTGTGGAGGGTGGGGGTGGAGGCGAAGGTGGACTTGTTGTCCAAGAAAAAGCCCATCATATATGTATGGGAAACATCTTCCCATAAAGCTGTTCTTTTCTACTGCTGGTCATTAGTGCTGGTGTTCCTTATTTCCCTTTACAGTCATCAAGACTGATGATTTACATAAATCATCACATAGCACCAGCAGACGTCAGAGCTAAAGTAGAGAGGGAAAGATGCTTCTGACAAGAAGGCCCATCTAAAAATGAATGGTGTGAGGGTGTGTGCATCAGTTTCTGTTGTGCAAGCAAAGGGAAATAGAGAAAATTGCCATGTTTTATCATGTTGGACGAGCTGGAGCAGGTGACACCGTGATCAGGTGTGCATGCATAATCACTCCCCCAAATAATCGCCATGTGGAATAATTTCCCCCCAAACCTTGCAGCTTCAACTTATTCTCTGCAAGTGACTCATAAATCTTGGCCTTGAATGTGAATCAAGATTTCAAGCTGCAGGCTCAGGGGTTTGTTGGATTTATTCAACTTAAGTCTTTATTTATAGACGTAAAAGTGTATTATTGGTTGTAACATCCAAACAAAAGAAAACAGATTGTAAGCCTCCATTAATGTTTTCCCAAAAGGGAAATCGCACGTTTCTCTCGGGTCTTTCATTCTCTCCCTTGTAATATTAAGATGATGTCATAAACTCGTAATTACTTTGTGATGTTCTTGTGCACTTTATATCTCTTGGTTCAGACATGCAAATTCCCTTTCTCTTCAGAACAATATGCACCGAACAGTATGAGCAGGTGGAAGACAAGCCTTTAGTGGCCTGCAATTTAGAAACCTGTAAAGTTTTGAATACGTGCTACTTAAACTCTTTTTCTGGGAGGAAAAGACGTACTTTAAATATCTTGGGTCTTGTGTTATGTACATTAGATGAGGCACTGAGTTTTAGGAGCAATCACTCACTATTGGAAAAGAAAACCATTAACTGGCAAACGAATGCAGAGGTTCTATGAAAAAATACTACATTTATCAGGTAGATGTTTTTTCATTCACTAATCATATCCAGGAAAGCAAAGACCCTCTAAAAGAAGGACATATTTGTACCATATTATTAGATGTTTGGCTTTCAATTACCTGAGGCACTGGAATAAGTAAAAACATGAAACACAGAGCTGTGAGAGAAAAATGGATCACAAACTGGTGACAGTTTTCTTGGCTAAATCTTTGTTCTTATACTCTCAGCTCATCTCTTCAGTTCTGCAAGGAAAAGGCCATACCATATCTATTTCCAAGTCCCCTTTAAGTCTTGTTCAGATTTCTTATTGCTCATTGCTAAGCATTTTAATTTCTGACCTCTTCTGCTCCACTAGTTACAGACCCATGCACTGACCCTCTAGGATTTCCAACTCAGTGATTTATGTTCTTGCCATATTCATGTGAAGCACCACTATCAATGAAGGGAGGAGGGGAGGAGAGAGACGGAGAGGGAGAGGGAGATGGAGGGAGAGGGGGGCTTTCTCATCATTCTCATGTTGGTGGCAGAATAATTTTTCTTTACAGTTTTTGTCTTATTAAGAGTCTTAATAATATAACTCTTGATGCTGATACTTTTTGAACATTCCAAGCCCCCCCTCAAAAAAAAAAAAAAGTAAGCCAAAGAGAAAAGCATTCCCATTTTGAGTTTTAATTATTTTAGCTCTTACAGACTGAGAGGTAATATTTCTTTTGAGGCAGGGTGAGAAGGGGAGCAAAGACCCTGCAACCCCTCATCTGACCAATAAAGCTGTTGATTTGTGCAAAAGTCAGATGAGTTCTGGTCCGAGGAGCCAGCTCCTGTTTTGGCCTAAGAGTCATCTTTTCCAACAGAGAAATAGAGACTTTTTTTTATTATCGAGGTGTGAAGGGGTATGGAATCATTAAGAGGAGCTGAGTCATTGTATCATGTGTCCTCTGCTCTGGACTTACAAGGTGATGAGTAGACCAATAATCGTGGATGCCGTGTTCCATTCTCTGCTGCCCTTTGCATTTAAGGTTCAGCACTAAGTAGTCTGGATCTAGGTCTTTGTTTTGCCAGTGTCTTACCTGGTCCTTTCTGTATCTTTACATCATTCCTGTGTTTCTTTTCCGGTCTTTCCCCCCATTATCCACATTCTTTCGGGTCTCAGGCCTCCAACTAACGTGCCCCTCTTCTGTAATTTCTCTGCCTAGAAGATCACCTTTATCTCTGACCCAGGCATATGGTGTGTGGTAATGCCTCTCAAAATCAGATCGGAATTAGGACTAATGAGCCTCTTGCAGGGTATGGATGTGTCCCACACGTCATCTGTCCTGCTAGCTATTAGAATCTGAAAACTTAATCATACACTCTGAGAAGAGGCTTTGATAAAGAATTTTACTCCTGCGTGTTCATTTAAGATTTAGACTTGACGTATTAACGCCAAATTTAAAATTGTGTCCTCCTCATTACAGTCCTCTGTAGTTACAAGGTTCTAATAAATATTATGTCCTCCCATCATGCAATTAAAATTTTCCACCTCATTTCACAATGCAAAACATTCACATGTTGTCAATCATTTTGAAACATGATTTTTTGACATCATATAATTTCACTTCATTTTTGCAGACAGACATCTCACCAGGAAATTATTTAAGAAAGAATCCTATTATATCTTTATTTTTCCACCAAATTTCACCTTCAGAGGCAGTCATTTGTGTACATTTCAGTAATTGCAACAATAAACTTGCACGGAAAGGGAATGGCAACTCCTCAGGCGGAGATTCACATATGGGTATTGCTACACTCACAAGGCTGTGGCTCAATTACAGGCACCCAGTTAGAAAACATGGTTTTAACCATGGGAAGTTTACAAGTCTTGCTGTATAAAGTGAAAAGGTTGCTGCTTGAGACAGCTACCACCTGGGAAGCTGGGAGAGAAACATGCGTGGGCTTTTGAACTTTCCTCTGTTTAATAACTAGCAGACACTAATGATTTGCCAAACATCCTGATTTAAAATGGCGGTAGTCAAAAGCAAGACTGCCTGCTGGTTGTGAGGTAGCCCACCTGTTCTCTATACCAAAGTTCCCCTGACCTGTGCCCAGCGCAAAGCTGTTACCCTTTAAACCACTGCTAGATGTGCGTGTGTGTCTTGTTGGGTTCTCTCGCTAACATTCTGCTCTGCTGTTGAAGAGAAGCTTCTTACCGGCAACTCCACGTTGCCTTTTTAATGAAGGCAGATCCTTGGGGAATGATCTCACACGCAGCCTTCAGGGAGCCTGCTGCGGGCGGTGGGGTGGGGAAGAAGGCATGAGGGCTGCTTTCATCTGAGCAGCAAGGCAGAGCTTCTGAGGAAATGTTGACGAAGGTACTGTCCATTTCAGTACAGGGTGAAGATCTGTTCCCGGTTGTTTAAAGTAGTGGGGTGGATCTTCAAGAAGATCAGCCATTTTATTCATGTCTTATACCCTGTTTGTGAGAGAAAAATTAGAAAAGAGTCAGTTGTTGAGTGTGAGAAAGGGGTGAAAGTGGAGAGTAGTGTGGAAATGGCATTTATAATCTCTAACAGGGTGAGAGGTGACGGTTTTTCATTACAGCATATGTCCCAAGGAAACAGGAGAGTCTAGTTTGGTGTGACGTAAAGTGGAAGGAAAATTAAAGATCTTTTGAGTGCCAGTTTGTCATCATTTATTATCATAAGAAAGTTGGTTTGATTAGCACTCTGGCCCCCAAAATGGTACAGACTTTACAATGAACAGATTATTGTTTCCAGCTAAACAGATAATGGTGAGAACCTGGAAAGCACCGCCTGTGAGGCTGAGTGTTTCCTCACGTTCTACCACTTGTTTAAGGTATTCTAGGTTTTTGTAGGTGCTCTAATGGCATCCATAAATATATCAAAGGGAAACATTTGGTAGCGCAGGAAAGAAATCTTTTAAGATGGTTCCACCTGAGTATCACACTGAAGTAATTACATTAAGGATTTTTTAGTGATTAAGCTGCAAAAGTAACCAACATGTAAGATTTCATGACACATTCTTAGATATCTACTCTACACTACGTTTTATGAAATTTTGTCATTCAAACAATGCAGCCACTCAACAAAGTTGGTATTACTGTCTCTATTTCACTGCTGTGAAATTTAAATCATATGACTAAAAAGTAGCACAGCTCAGAATCCAACCTCCTGTAAATATTTGTTCAATTAATACTGACAATTAAATCCATATCATATTCATTTATGGATATTCATACATCATTATCCATTCATTATGCCCACACGTGCCAGAATCTCCATGCAGTTTTTGATGGAGGTACTTCAGGATAGGCAAGAGCATGCTCTCCTATCCTTCTTTTACTTAAAGGCAGTTGTAATGCTCTTCAAACTTCAATCCAGAGGGTTGTCTCCAGGGAATAGGGGATGCTTAACTTTGTTCTCTAAAGCCAATTGTGCTACAAATGAAGATAGCAATTATCATTCATCATCCTTGGTGATTTTTATCTCCCTCTCTGGGCTTATATAGTGCTTATCATTGTGCTACCTAAGTGCATTGACACACTGCTAACTTCTTATGAGATAATACTGGGAGGAGAATAACTCCTTCCACTGGGATGGTGAATGCCTAACTCACAGATAACTATAGGACTTTTTCTGTATTGCGAATCTATCATCTTTTGAACTCCTATGTTGCCTACACCTGTCCAACAGCAATGCAATGTAATTTTCATAGCCAGCAGTCCTTTGGACCACAACAAGACATACTAAAGATTCTGTGCTGTGATGTATCTAAGTGTTGCTGACCTCTTGTTTTTTGGAACAAAAACAAGACTATAAAGAAAAGAACCTACTCAAATAAGATTTTTTAAAAGAAGCAGTTATCAAAAGGCTTCATAAGCATCTCATAAAACCCATATGTGCTAATAAGAGTTTTGCCTCACAGGAATGGGAAAATGGACAACTACTAGTTTGTTTCCTGTCCCATCATATATCTAGCTGCTTCTTTTGGCTTCCATGTTTTATTCTCTTCTCGTCTCATCTCATCTCATCTCATCATCTCATCTCATCTCATCTCATCTCATCTCATCTCATCTCACCTCACCCCATCTCATCTCTCACTCCTACCTTTTCCTGTTTACACTTACACATAGCCTGCCATGGCTACCTTCAAACAGTGGTGTGAGCCTGCACATCTACATGAGATTTCAGTCCATTGTCCTCACACAAATGTGATGCAGATTCTAGATTCCCTATTTCAAACTCCGGAGAGCACGGTCTTGCAGTGATCCGCACATCTCCACCTATCTAAGACGTATGATGAGGAAGGGGTGGAGAGGAGGGGTTGGTGCTGCTTTCAGACACTGGACAGGTCTCCTGAGAAACAGGTCATGGCTAGAGTGGTTTGTATCTCCAGAACCAAGTATAGAAAGGATTGGAAGACGTGAAAAGTGGACCACGTGTGATGATGAATTCTTAGATCATTATCCTTAAGAGAGAAGAACAAATTTTCACCCATGTACTGGACATTGTAGATAAAAGTACTTGTACAGAGAAATGGAAGCACTATACCTCATCTTAGACCTGAAGTCAAGAATGTTATTGTAAATTCTTTCCTGGAAGGCTTAATTTCTGTTTTCAAAAACACACACACACACAGCCTCCTGATCAACTCTAGGAGTAAGAGAAAGGTGAATTCAGCAAGAAATTCCTCTTCTACCTGTACCCATCCTAGAAAACATGGAAGGGCTGCCTTTGTCTACTCTAAGCCATGTGATTTTCTTAAGTAGATACAGCCAACACTGAGTATTGTGGGCTTTTTGCTGAGAACTCCAATCGTCCTGAAGATCCCTGGAAAGTTCAGTTATCTATTATAATATTTCTATCAAGCTGTTCATAGATTATAACCAAGATTTGTAATAGTCCAGGGTAGAGTTCTGTGATTTGCTGAGAAAAGGTTACATTGGAATTAATTCTTGGGGAAAGATCCATGGAAGTGTGTCTTCTCTCAGTGCCAGGAACACTCTGCTTGTGGCAGCCATTGTGTCTGGGCATACACGACCACTTCGCTCAGCTGAATTGTTCTGTAGTCATACCAAAGCAGCTAATTCCCTCTCATGAGGTGGAGGTGTCTGATTTGAACAAGCTGAGATATCAGGTTTCTTTCTTTCATTTTTCTGGTTCCAAGCAGAATTATTATGCCCATCACAGGACGACCACTATTAGAAACAAATTATGGTCCATTTTTAATAGCCCTTTTCCATATTTTGAGCAGGTCACTGTCCCTATGAAAAAGTGTAAGGCTGGTGGCTGATTCTCCCCAAAAGTGTTCCACCTTCCAGCTCCAGGCACACTGACCTAGAGGTGCTTGGAGGCTCTATTGTATTGGGATCCTGCTGAAAGAAGCACATCAGCACAAAGCATGTTTACATTTTCTCTGTGTTCTAAAAACTAAGTAGAAGCATTTTGCGTGTCCCTACAGCTTTAGTCCTCAGTTTCTCTAAGGGACATAGTTTTGGGGTGATAGTGAAAAATGACTATTTTGCACACTATCAAGTGCTTTGTGGGTAAAATATAAACATGTAATGAAGCCAAGCACGACTGTAATCATACAGCAACAGAAAGAGCCACTGGCTTCCATGTTCTTGTCCTTTGGAGGCTTATTTTATGTGATCAAAAGAGACGAAGTGAACAATAACTAAAATAGTAACATTTTAAAATCAGCATTTACTAGACTGTTCTAAATGCTTCACCCAGACATCTCTTTTCATTCTCACCTGCTCTTTTTGAGATAGTAATTTTATTACTATAACTCAGATGAAGAAAGTGAGGCTCAGAGAGGTCAAGTAACTTGCCTAGAGTCACAGAACACGAAAGGAGTGGGTAAGGGTTTGCACCCAGCGGGAGGCTGCTTTTGTGTTCATAACCAGCATATTACATTCTCTTCTAGATATGAGTCCAGCCGCTGGGCTAGAATGTGAGCGTGTAAAGAATACCACCAAAACATCCTCCTGGCGATTATTTTCTACTAGCCATTCTAAATCCTCTTCCTCAGATCTTACCTTTCTCACCCAGTAATATGTCCAAAAACCATTTGCCAGACTGGGGTTTTGAATCCAAGGAACAAAAGCAGAAAGAACAAGTTCATGGATGAGTGGGGAAAGCTAGGAGGGGAGTGCGGGAGTGTGGGAGAGCTGCTCAGAAGCTTGCTTAGGATTCCTTAAAGAGAGAGAGCAGAAGAGGGGCGTACACTGTTTCCCTCAGCTATGTTGTGGTCCCCGGGGTGGAATCAAGAATCAGTGACTCTGAGTGCATCTTTGGCACGGCAGAAGTCTGGGTAGGACCATCACGGGATGACATCTGATAGGAGTATTTGGGTAAAACTGATAACCAGACAGATTAGGTGTAGTGTCAAAGCATAAGTCCTTCCTTCCCTGGGCTGTGAAGCTCCAGATTATAATAGGTGGCAGGTGAGAGCCTGATGAGAAGCCCATGGCTGTACCACACCCTCCCTCGCCCTCTTTGTCCCCTTATTCTTTGTTGTCATTGAGGGAGGGGATGGTATTGTCTTGGTTCTTTCTCTATGGACTATAAACTCCAAAAGGATAGAGACTTTTGAGTATTTTGCTTCAAAGGGGCCTTTGAAGGGTCTCTTAGGTGCTTAATTAATAGTGTGCAGTGAATAAGTGTGTCATTGGACAACCTGCTGGGCCACATTTTGTTTTCTGGTTCACACCGTCAGCTGGTCACTGTTCACACACACTCTTCTCACTGCCTCTTTACGGCCAGGGGCTCTTATATGTCTGTCTGTCTGTTCCTCTCTCTCTTTTTCCCCCCTTTTCTTTTCCTCTCCCTCTCTCTTCCTCTCTCCCTAACCTGCCCTCCATACTAAATTCTTTCTCAGTGTCACTCAGAAAAAGATTCTGTTTTTTCTTCTATCTTTCCCCCAAAAGTCATTCTAAGCTATGAGGTGGTATGAGAAAGATGAGAATGACAGTTTAGCGGGGACAAGATGACTAGAAAGGTATTCCCAGGAGACAGAGAGCTGGAGAATATCCTGGTTTCAGGGAAGCAAACCCAGGGGGCGTGAAACCATCTGCTTTCAATCTATAGAACTAAGTTTCTCAAGGCAGAGAACAAAATGTCACCCATGTCCACACCAGGCTGTGGCTGACTCATTTCCCAGAATAAAACTATCCAGATGAAATATTCTGCTTTCTATGAGACAGAAGACTTCAAAATCCCCCTTGATGACATTCCCTCTATGAGTACTATGTATGTATGTGTATATTTATCTATTTAGTAAACATGTCTGTAGTGCTTATTATGTACCAGGTGTTATTCTAAGTAGTTCAAACCTAAATGGGAACTCATTCAGTGGTATGTATTATTGGTAGGCCCCCCCCAACACTTCATAACTAGCTTGAGACTAGAAGTAACCCTGGTAGAATTGGAATTTGTCCCTGAGTTCCCCAAACTGGCTCCAGAATTTGCACTTTCGTCCATTAGCTGGGCTAATTCTCTGAAATTTACTACTCTTTTACAATATTGGGTGTGGTTTCATTAACTTTTTTTTGCAATTCTCTAAGACCATACAAAGAAGGGAAAAAAAAATCCTGAAATGGATCAGCTATTTTAACTTCAAAGAAAATAAATTTTCTGATCTGAGTTTTCTCAATATACTGATTATCTAGTATATGTATGTTTATGTATTATAAATATATAAACATACATACATCACAATATATACACATATGTACATGTGTATTCAAATGCTACCTGAATATATTTTGCGTAATCCAGACAGAGCTTCATCAATATTTCTTCTTTATTCTTCTCTTTGGCAGCAGCTTTCTTTATGCATTTCCATTTTCCACATTTTTCAGCGTGATTGGGTTAGGTTGCATACACTTCTCCTGAAATATTAAGAGCACACAGTCCACATACACATGCTTTCGGCATATAGTTATGATCTATCATTTCAAAAATCCACACATTATAAGCAAACAGAACAGGCCTTGAGTGGTGTGAAGTATTAGGTCCAAAGAACCCTCTGCCATTTATCTTCTCACTAATGTGGGGACTAACAAGACCCCAGAGTTTCTGTCTCATTGGCAGATTCTTTGTCCTAAACCACTGAAACTACACATGCATGCATGTGCGCACACACACACACACACACACACACACACACACACACAGAATCACAAAGTCACACACACACAGGTATACATACCCATTCACATCCACTTTGTGTATCTTTCATAGCAAGTTGCTACATACACAAGTAAGGGAAAGAGACCTAACTAGTGTACCATTCTGACATTTTCACAGGAGATAGTATCAGCACAAGTGTGAATCCAAATTGTTCAGCTTTGTCCTCAGGGTGATTTTGGGGGGAAAAATACCCTAGATACAGAATGGTTGGGCAAGGCATAATTTTAAACTTTTAATTGACTGCCCTGATGTAGTCCCTCCCTCTATCCTGTTTTTCTCTTATGATACTTCTCATTCAATATTTCCAGTGTCTAAAGTACTTCTGCTAGATTTTCCATCTTTCTTTTCCCTAAATATAATAGGGCAAGTTTTCTTGTATGGCTTATTAAAATTGGTATTACTGCTTTAGAGTCAAGCCATGTTTGTTACAGTATAATTTCCTGGCTGGCAAATATCACTGTGCTAAATTTCTGGACACCCCCTGCATTCATCCCATGCATTATTTTGCTCTTTTACCTTAGTAGATTCCTGCTATAATACATACTCACACCTCTGAGTACACATCTGCCTTACTTCTGTCTTCCCTCACAGTCCACTATTCAGAACTTCTGAGTCCCTGTCCTTTACTCTGCAAGAGTTCATGACCAGTCTAAAGTTGAATCTGTAAATAGAAAAAATTTTCAATATAGTCAATATTTTTATAGATAGTTCTAGGAAAAAAAATCAACTTGATTGAATTAGCTTATTAAAAATGGAAAAAACTCTTGAGTCTTGTATAGAGATGACATTATTCACTGAGAATTTCAATCCTTAGTTATTTATTCATATGTAGTACACAAATCTCAAACACCCAGGTTTGGTCAGTCGTCTCTGTCTATATACATGGAAACTCTTACATATGCAGGAATCCTAATGGTTAACAACATGGACCAAACATCCTGATTATTTTGTGAATTTTTCTCATTTCAGCTAGGTGTTTTGGCTCTGTGTAGACAGATTACAGCAGGCTTCCCAGTATATATTCTTTTGAATCTGCTTTGTTGATGTAGAACAAAGTTTCATTTGCTCACAGATTTTAATTTACCAAAGAAAAGCTAATGAATGTTGGATCGCATTCTTCAGTGAAGGTAATAAGCCTCATATGTTATATAAAAATCTACTGCCCTCTGATTGTCAAAGTTTACTTCTTTCTTTTCAGATTCTTCTTTGTATTGTTTTACAATCTAGGTATATCTGTTTAACATGAAATGCAGAAAATGACAGGGCTCAGACAGCTACTGCATCCAGTGACAAAGATTACTGTCATCCTGGCTCATCAGTTAATTCATCATTGGCAATGGTCCATTCCATTTCCTGGTAGCCTAGCAACAGCCAATGATGGGGAGGGCTGTTTGCCATGTGACAATGGTATGTGGTACTTTCCAGAATGCTTTTACATAAAAATAGGATGATAATTTATAAATTTACATTTTTATTTTAATAAATGGGAATATTTGGTTTTAGGGGTTGACATTCAAAAGGGAGACAATTTTATTTTGCAGACCATGACTTTAAAGTGCTGGCCTGGTGACTTGATAACAGAAATGGAGCTATCAATTTCACATATAAACAAGGTTTAAAGTTGAGACTGTGAATGCCTTACTTTACCTTGGTTCAAGTGATTTTCCCCACAGATTAACTACACAAAAATAATATAATTAAATTAGAACTATTCTTATATCAGTGCATGACTGTGTACACACACACACACACACACACACAACGTGGGATTGTGAGTCTGAACTTTGGCTCCAAAATTTTTTTATTACTGACTAGAAAAAAAACATTTCTGAGCAACAACAATAATTGTTGTCTCTAACAGTGAAAAAAAATTCACAGTCTCTCACAGTTCTCCTACCCCTCTATTGATGATTCATGGTTCGGCAACTCATTGAAAAATCTGCTCATTTGTTTTCACTGATTGAATTCCCTGATTGTTAGTGTGTATAAATGTATTAGCTGCTATTGAAGCTATCTTCTGTTAGAGAAATGAGGAAAAAATCCTATTTAAATGTCATAATGCTTTTCCTCTTGTTATGACAGTATCATTGAGTAAATAATTTTATTTTAGTGCTATAGTTAAGAAAATCTATAATCACCTCTGCATAAATTTTTTTAAAAAGTCTATATTTAGCCGCATCTGCAGAGACAGGAGTAGAAAATAAGCGACTACCTAAGACATGAATTCCGTTAAATATTAAAGAGATCTCATCAATGATTTTATTAGTCTCTGAGCTCAGTAAAGGCCTCACTGACATCTAGAGCCTAATGACTTTTTTAAATATATTTAAAGCCTTGCACTGCACCTTTAAATATTGAACAATATTGAAAAATATTGAAGCCCTTTTTTGTATATTAGCTTTAGGGAGAACTGTTGTATGATTTCCACTCCTTTCATGACATTGTAATGATGTTACCACATACAACTTTATCTTGCATGAAAAGGTGAAGTCATGAGTGATTTCTCCAATTTAAAAGCACTCAACCCTCACAGTGCTAGAAATGAATATTTTGCATATATTCATGCAACAATGATTCAATTTAAGATTTCTATTTTCAAACATTGCTTGAAACCTTCACTATGTTAGTAGTGAAATTGCCAAAATGTGTAATAAGATTTATTATAGATGAGTAGCATTTTATTTAGTATTTCATGTTAACACGCTTTTAGGGTTACCTGGTTTAGCAGGAGAATTCATCTTTCTTTTCTAATCAGAGATAACATTTTATTGTATTTTAAAAAATACCCTTCACATAGAACACACACACACACACACACACACACACACACACACACACACACAGAGTGATACTGTGGCTTGGACTGAATTTTATCTTGCTGGCAATACAAACCTAAACATTGCTCATGTTGATGTCAGTGTACCCTTACACAAAGGCCCTCTGATTAAAAAGGAAAAAGACTTCTGTTTCTCCTCTTTCATCCCTGTCCTTCTCTCCAGAATAGCTGTAGGACTATACATCCTTTCAATGGGTTAAGACTTTTCCTGTGGATTTTCCCCTTTAAAGGGGTCTTGTTATACCCTTGTTTATAAAGTACAGATGATTGATGTTATAACAGCATGAAAATGAATGTAAGTTTCCTAGAAGCTGCATCAAGGCCTATGTCACAGGTACAAAATATATAGGTTGGCAGAAGCTGTTAGTCGTGGGACTGTGTTTCCGAAAGAGGTGCAAACAGATGGAGGAAGAGATGTGTTTAAACATGGTCACCTGTGGGCGTGGAGATGCAAGATCAGAGAGGTGTGCAACCACTTCAGGACCTGATCTGTCACTGTTACAATGGAGGCATGAAAAACTATAAACTATTACTGCTTCTGTGTTCCTTGTACATCTCTAGGGTCTTATGTCTTCTTTCCATTCCAGGTTCTCAACATTTCAGCAGTGAAAGAGGAGACCTTCGACAGGTCGATTTGGCAGGTATTAAAGCAATGCCCTTCTCCCCACGCGTATTCAGACAGCGTACTCATACATGCATGCGTATACAGTCATGTAAGTGTACACATGCACATAAAGCAAGGTTTGTGTGTGTGAGTGAGATCCTAGCACATTCCCAGCACAGAGAGGAAGTACTGTCCTGATTTTCATTTAGAGGATGCCTAGAGTTGCTAGCAGCAAGCCCCATGTGTCCGTGCAAAGCTACTCGCAGATGACACACTTGTACAAGTGCAATTTCACTTTGGCTACTTTTAATTTTATAATATAAAAAAGTTATTAGAAACCTGAGAGGCAGCGCACCAGTGAGTGACTTGCCCTGCATTTTTGGGAGGGAAGAAGAGTAGTGATCTTATTAGGCCCCTGGGTGGGCCAAATTTTCCTAATTACATGGAAATCAGAGGCAGCCCCTAGACTGCGGTATCTTACCTGCATGGAATAAACACTCCCCTGCTGTCACTAATGTCCTATAAATCATGTTAAAGAGAAGCATAATTAACATTTTTGATCAAATCAAGCTTCAAAGCCGTGAAGTGCTTGAATGAGTAAAGCTATATTCATCAGTGAATGGGAAGGGGAATGCTTAGATGGCTTTGCCGCTGCCCACTCGTACTCTTCGGACACCTGCAGAAGGTGATGAAGAATTTGGATGAGAAAATCTCCAGCAAAGTGCCACATTTAGTTTCAGGGATGGTAGCTCAACAGGAGGCAAAGGGCTTGGGTGAAGACATAGAGAGGGAGAAGCCACCCCAGATCTGAGAAGAAAGAATATCTTCCTATTTTCAGCTTGATAAAAGCATATCCTTTCTGGGTATGGTCAAATTAGTTCTACTTATCTTTCAACCCATTTAAAGAGCATACTGTTGCTGGTAAAAAGAAAGGTGGCTTGGCGCAAATCATTTCCGTCTTTATTTTTTCATATATCCGTGCCACTGCCTAAGGCTAATTAGAACTCAAACTTACCTGGAGGCAGGTATGCAGTGGAAGTGTTGAAATATTTAAAAGGACCCTAGCTCCCAGAACATCATCTGAAGTGAATCTGGGACTTGTGCTTAAGACACAAGAGTTTTCTTTCTTTCAATGGCAAGAAAAGACTTTAGCTGCAAGTTTTCTTAGAAGTTACCTGGTTAACTACATTTATACTAAGTTATAGGAACTTGATAGCCAAGTCTTGATAAACAGAGGTGGAAAGCAAGATAGAACCCTGTATAACCAAGCAGGCCAATAAAAGGCAGGAGAAGCTGAACAGGGGGGTCTAGGTATGCCATAGAATCTTCCTCCTAAACATCACAGTTTTGATCTGGGTTTGAGGGAGCATTATCAACTAGAAATGCAAAAATAATAATGGAGATTCCTCATTCCCACACCACCTAGTGAAACTGGGAAACGCAATTCACTTTCAGTTCATCCTTTGAGCTGGATACTTAGGGAAGAATATCACCTGGCATATGGGCTGCTGGAGCAATGGTACCCAGAATTAGAGCTGGAGTTTCTGCCTACATCCCTCCTGGTTTCTCTTTGAAGCACAGTATGTGTACTTGCTACTTCCCTACTTATCATTAGCCAGTGTTGCTTTATCACTCCTGCGCTGGGTTGAGATAGAGCCTGTGAGAGGATGTGATCCCAGCCACTTCCTCCTCCATCTGTTGGATGCATGGCTGGATCATAGGGGAGAAGGGATGTACCTGGGGCTGTTATACTAAGACTTCTTATTTACATAAATGAATACATGCACACATACAATATTGAGGTCCAGGAACTGTGAATATCCTGGGAAAGAAGTGCATTTTCTGTTAGAATAATTAAATTATGTTGGTTTTTACCAATGTATATTGTATATATTAGTACATATAGTAAAGGGAACGTAGGTTTTGGGATTTTTGAGTCTATTCCAATTTTAAAGTTTCAAAAACTGAATTTACTGATATAAATATACATGTATTTGTGTATGTGCTGGAAAAGTCTGTAATTTTAGTTACACAACTATAGTTTTTTTCAAGAAATGAATGTTTAAGAATAAAAACTGAGAATGGTTTACATTTTATGACCTTGAAAAGCTTTTTATATAAATTTACAAATCAGAAAAATAATTCTTCATTAGATTGTGAGTTCTAAATTATGACTCAGGAAATATGGTCACAGTAG